TTACTACCGGATATAAAAAGTTACACGAAATAAAAAAACAATCGACTTTTATTATTTTATGAGTATTATTTTACTACCATTCCCATTTGTCACGGTATGTAAAAAAATAGACACGTAGTGGGAAAAATCCATCATTTTTTTTATAGAATAAGGGTAACAAACGAGCAAGCTGTCCACCTCAGAGTAAGTGCACTATACTCTATATATATAAATATATACTCACAAGTAACTTTTTCTTTTTCTTCACTTTTCATCACAAGTAATGATTCGATTTAAAATCCCTTCATTTTGTGTCGGTTGAGCAAAGTAACAGCAGTCGACGCGTGTTTGCAAGTTCGATTCACACAATTCATGAGGTACCCATCGTTCAAGTTTTTTTTAGTTTCCCGATTTTGCTGCAAGTGGATATACAGTTTTATCACTTACCCCGAAGCCTGCAGCTATCTATAAAGTATTTTGTGATGGATCCACTTCCACAATAGCCTTTAATTCTTCATTTTCCACTTTGGTCTCCGGCCGTCCACGGGGTTGGTTCTGAAGGTTGAAATTTCCAGAACGAAAACGTTGAAACCAAAAACTTACCATGTTTTCTTTTGCGACACCAGCGCCGTACACATCATTAATCCTTCGAGCTGTTTCTGGAGCACTGGTGCCACGGTAGAACTCGTACTAATAAATATACCGATATTTCATGTTTTCCATTGTGCGGTAATAAGCGACGCCAAAAAAAAAATAATGAGGAAAAAACAAATGAATGACTGTTTTCAAAACTCAAATGTACCAGCTAAATGAATTTATAAATTTGAATTTGGAATTCTTAACCAAAGAGGAGATATTTCAGATCAAAGTGGTCAGTACGACAAAAGGCTAGTTTCATATGTAAGGACTCAATATCGACATCAAAGCACTTGTTTCGTCATTTCTTTTAACCCCGGCAATACATGTTGGCCAAGCCTCAGCCAATGCGAACGTAGGCAAATTGATACAAGGTGAGTACTACAGTCTAAACGTTGGTTAAGTACGAAAGAGACCAATTCCAAGGCCAATGCACGAGTTTTTGTGGAGCTTTCCACATGAAATTAGTAGTCATTGAGAATTGGTAATGATATAGAGCACGTAAAAGTTATTGCTGATTCTGTTATTTATTTAATGAGTGCATATAATTATTATTTCAGTGTACTTCGCAGTAAAGGTAATAAACTCAAATATGTCCTCGTTAGTATAGTGACATTATCGAAATTATTTTAAAGTTGCAAATTCATTAAATCAATATCCGGGACGGAAGCCAAGCTGTTACTGATATGGGCGACTAACATGGAGGCACTTGCCAAGTGCAGGCAAGCGCCTTTGATTTGTGCAAAAAAACCGACACTTCCGAAGTGGACGCATCATAGCGAGCGATCCCGAGTGGCGGCAAGGCAAGGAACCGTGTACACGTTGGCGCTCAGCTGCACTAGGCGAGCGTCGACGAGTAATGGCGAGGCTGGACCAATAGGCTGTCTAGACGTTGGTGCTCGCCTTCGCTTGGGCAATATGTGTAGCCGGCTTAACACTTGACTTGCGCAGACACTTAATATACAAAATCGCGTCACTTTTACGTATCAAAATCCACTTCAAACCATTATTTAAGCGATAAAACAGGTGCAACAATCCGTCGTCGATCAAGTTCCCGGTTCCCGCCAAAACTCCAGCAAATACGATTTGCTACATCCTCGAAGGCTACATCGACATCGATGAAACAAATGCTTCCATGTTGATATAGACCTTAAATTATTTTGGTCGCTTGGGCGCCTTATGAACTTGAGTGACTGTAGTGTCGTTAAAATGTCCTAAAAGCTTCGCAATGTGGCCATCGGCATATTGCGAAGAAAAAATATATGAAAACGAAGATTCCAAAAGAAATGATAGGCCCAGAAGGGCTAGAACCCAGAGCCGTAAAGACAGATAAATCAGCATTATAAAAAATTATACGTTATTCCAAATAGGGATGCTCGATGTTGCAGAAACATCGATGATGACATCGATGTTGGTATCGATATGTTAACATCGATGTTCGATGTTTATCCTACTTAAAACATCGATGTTGGCCATTATCGATGTTTTTGCACATGCACCTATTTTATAGGTTAAATTAGATGAATAAATAAACAGTAATGTTCTTTATGGTTTATTATTAATTAATTAAACGTAGTTAATTAAAAAATGTATGTCAAACAGTCATTAAAAAATTGGAAGATGTAAACAAATATCTAGTACATTTATTATATTTTTTTGCCGATGATGATGAATGTTATTACTTTGATCTTTAAATGTTCCTGTACACTCATAAATCCTGTATAAAAACTTAACTATGGGACCTAATTTACGATTTAGACGTAGGTTTTGTATCAACTACTCTCTGAGTATAGAGAAAAATTAACAAATTAAGCAAAAACGAAATATTAGACTTCACATTTTTTAATCAGGCAGCCCAAGCAAGTAAGTTTTCACAGCCGTTTATGAAATTAACGGTCAAATGCACTCTGCAGTGAAATTGTATGTGCTCACGATCGCTCAGTCAATTATTTTCATAACCTTCAAGCAAACAATAAACTCGTTATGAAAAGATCAAAAAACGGCTAAATAATATTGAATTGTGTAGATACGATTGCGACGCACCTCGACAGTCTCTTTAAAAACACAATTTAAAATATAAAATGATTTAATACTCTTACGAAGGTGTTTAATTACAGAATGAATTAAATTTTTTGTTAGTAAAATAAGGCTAAACTATTATCATATCGTCACCGGATAGGTGGGGGAGTTGTTTGTCTTACAATGCATAGAAATCTAACTTGGCTTCTTATGAAAATGCTGATGTGGTTGTTTGGAATATTGAGCTAGGGGCGGATTGAGGTGATATAACTCCTCCCTCCACAAGTTCGGGATTATCACGAATTTTCCAAATTTTACAAATAATACTTAAAATAATTAATATTATAACTAAGATTATAATGTTCAATAAGCTAACATTTTTATTAGTAATTTCACTTTTTTCATTTTCACTTAACTCACTATTACTAATTTCTCCCATACTTCTCTGCAGTAGTAGGTTCAGAAACTGTACGTCTGCTATATTAATTCCATCGAAGTTCATAGGCTTCTTCAAAGTACTTGACGGGTCGAATAATATCTTTGGTAAGTTTATCATTGGCTGTTTAAGGTAAGTTATTTCTTTACCTTGAGTCTGATGTCTTTTCAGTTTGTATCCTTTGATTTTAACCTTGCAATTATCATCCATAGTCAAGAGATAGATTCCTAGTAGAATCTCCTGGCTTACTTCACTGTCGCAGAATTTAGTCATGGCTATTTCAGTATTTGAGTAAACTATCCAGCGGTTTGGTTGTATGAGGTGGAATTTCACATTTTCAAGCGTGACAGGGATCGGGTGACAACTTGAGATATTTGTGTGAAACTGTATGATTTCTATGACACAGTTGTCATCGGTGAAGGGTTGTATGTCGTTCTCGTAACACAGAAATTTCGACGTTCGTCGACCTCGCGGCATGATTGAGAGAGTGGTGTTGCTTTCAACCCTTTCAATAGTAGGTAAGAGTTTTTAGGTAGGATGAGAGTCGTCTGGCCATTATATAATACAGGTAAGGGAATAATTTATAATAGTTAAAAATTTCGTTTCTAATTAGTGGAATATTCTTAATGAATTTTATCTGATTTTGTTTTATAGAGCCTTTTATCTCGATACATCTTTCTAATTTTACAATATTTTCGTAAGTAAGGAAGGTCATGTGTGACGTGCGTCAATCAAACACGGTGTTCTGGCCAGTACTGAATTTATTTTAATTTTACAATTATCATTACATCCTTCTCCCTCAAATTTACAAATAGTTTCCTTCGCAAAGAATTTACTTATCAGACATAGGTACACAGTAATTATACTTAAGTAATAAAATCATTAAACACCAACATTAGTAATGTAAAAATTAAATACTGAAATAATCCTACATCTTCCTTCTTTTTTTTACACACACCCAGTTGTTTCCATACCTTTATAAGATGAACCATGATGCACCAGTTTATGTTGTTTGTCCATATCTATTCGGTGGCTTCACTGACCTCCCGGATCGTGTAACATAATTATTATTAATAGTATTTTCTCTATATGTTGAGTACATATTTTGGTTGTTATAAGATACACTGGCGTTAACGTCATCATATTCGAAGTTATAGTTAGGAGTGTCGTGTCTGTTTGGCGAATCTTTTACTATATGTTTCCTATTTCTAACTATTTTACTACCAGTAACTAATTCAATTTCATATGAGCGGTCTCTTATTTTTCTTGTAATAATCCCGGATATCCACTTTCGTTTATTTACGTCTAGTAACACTTTTACATTCTGCCCGACATTTAATTTTTGCAAATTTTTTGCATTACGATCATAATACATCTTCTGTTTTAGTTGTTTTTCTTTTAATTTACTTAAAATATTTTTATGTGTTTTAGGTTTTAAAAATGTTGTAGACATAGGTAATATACTTCTCAATTTTCTACTCTGTAATAATTCCGCCGGAGAAGGCAAGTTTTCATCTAAAGGAGTGTTTAAATATTCTAATAAAGCCAACCTATAATCCTGCCTTTCCGCGGTAGACTTCAGAATTACATTCTTTATTGTTTGAACAGTCCGTTCAACTTGTACGTTTGATTGGGCGTAACGCGTCGATGAAGTTATGTGTGTGAAATACCATTCTGATGAAAACTGTTTAAAATCACTCGATGTAAATTGTGGACCACAGTCAGTCATGACTATATAGGGTATACCCTGTCTACAAAATATATTTTTTAAAGATGTAATAACAGAAAATGAATGAGTTGACTGCAATTCGACCAATTCAAAAAATTTGCTATAATAATCAATTAATAACAAATAATTTTGGTCTTTAACTTGAAATAAATCTACTCCTATTTTTGCCCACGGTCTATCCGGTATTTCATGACATTGTAATTATTCCTTTTGATTATTTCGTCTAAATGATAAGCATATTTGACAATTTAACACCATATTTTTTAAGTCATTATTTAGCCCTGGCCAAAATAGAATTTCTCTCGCTCTTAGTTTGCATTTCTCGAGACCCATATGATCTATATGAAGTTTGTTCAAAAATTCTTTTCTTAATATTTTAGGAACAATAATTCTCTCATTTTTCCAAACTAACCCATGTGCAAAAGATAAATCCTCTTTATAGTTCCAATACGGTTTAATTATATCATCCACTTCTCCTTTGACACTTGGCCAGCCTTTTAGCACATACTTCTTTAATTTTATTAATTCGTTATCAGTTTCCGTGTATTTTTGCAATTGCACAAACTGGACGTCTGTAATGTCGTCGGTGACTCTTGAGACGGCCTGTCGTTGCACCGCACACACCTCATCATGCAGCGAATCGGAACTCGGATGAAGTGCGCTTAGCACTGTCGGTTCGTACGCACGTGATAACGCATCGGCTATGTACAAGTGTTTGCCCGGTTTATATACTAGTTTGAATGTATAACGCTGTAATCTTAACAACATCCGCTGCAAACGTGTTGGTGAATCGACGATGGACTTTTTAATAATGCTCACCAGAGGTTTATGATCCGTTTCTATCGTAATATCAGTTCTACCATAAATATAAGCGTGAAATCTCTCGCAAGCAAATACACAAGCATACAATTCTTTTTCTATTTGTGCGTATCTTTGTTCAGCTTTGTTTAACGCTCTTGACGCGTAGCATACCGGTAAACCATTTTGCATTAAGCACGCGCCCAAACCACTTTTGCTCGCATCCACGGATATAATCACAGGAATATTTAAATTATAATACTGTAATACAGGACTGCTGGACAAACAGGTTTTCAGTTCTTTTAAACATTTTTCATGATTTTCGTTCCAATGCCACTCAGTGTCTTTTTCTTTTTGTAAAAGCTCTCAAATAAGAGTGTCTTGTTTGATAAGTTTGGAACAAACGTACCTATATAAGTTACAAGACCTAATAGTCTTTCAATATCCTTCTTATTTTGAGGTTTTGGCATATTAAGTATTGCTGATTGCTTTTCAGTTATTTTATGACCTAAATATTTTATTTCCTTTAAACCAAACCGGCATTTGCTTTTGTTCAATTTTAAATTAATCTTTCTACACCGTTCTAGAACTTTTTTAAGTCTCCTATCGTGCTCTTCTTTGTTGGAACCGAAAACCAATAAATCATCAATATACATGCATACCCCTTTAATATCATCAAAATTTTCATATATTTTTTTTGTGAAATACTTCTGAAGCCGAACAGATTCCATATGGCATTCGCAAAAATTTGTACCGACCAAAAGGAGTATTGAACGTACAATAATCACTGGTGTCATCTAACTGTACCTGCCAGAACCCTGATGACGCGTCTAGTGTACTAAATATTTTGCTCCTGATAGTTTTGAGACAATTTCATCAAGAGTTGGAAGCCTAAAGTGTTCCCGTCGAATGGCATTGTTTAATTCTTTAGGGTCTAAACAAATGCGTAAGTCGCCGTTGGCTTTTTTAACTATTGTTATGCTATTGACCCAGTCAGATGGGCCCACAACCTTAGAAATAATTTGCTGTGACTCCATTTCATCCAATTTTCTTTTAAACTCATCCCTAATTGCGAATGGTAGCTTTCGAGGAGCATGCACTACGGGTACACTATTCTGCTTTAAGCGTATTGTATACTTACCCTGTAAACATCCTAAGCCCTTAAATACGTCCTCGTAATCTTTAATAAATAACGGTTCATTATTTTTATCCTCTTGCACAGACATGACACGCCTAACCACGTCCAATTCTATACATGCGTACTTGCCTAGTATAGGAATAGAGTCTACGTCAACTACAATAAATTCCAAAATATACAAATTATTTTTATAACTGACTCGTAAATTTATTTTACCAACTACGTGTATATGGCCACCCGAGTAACTACTAAGTTTTGTACTACTTTTCAATACATCGTGTTTTGTAATCCCTATACTTGATAAAAATTTTATAGGCAATACATTGACATCCGCACCGGTATCAATTTTAAAGCATATTTGTTTATGATTAATTAATAAATTTACATTCCAGTCAATATGACTTTCTAATAAATTTATTACCTGTTCATCCGATTCTTCTATATAATATACATCACACACTCATGCAAAATGATTCATCTTTGAACAGGGTACACACCGTTTACCAAATGCAGGACACTCGTATTTCTTATGTACATTCCCGCAATTAATGCACTTGTCCTTTAGCGGGATATAATTATAGGAAAAACCTTGACGGTATGGTGGTGCTGGTCCGCTCCGCCAGCCGCTCCGGCTGCCGCTCGCGCCCGTAGCGTGCGCCGCGCTCCGCCAGCAGCCCGTACTCGAGATGGCTCCCTTGTTGCCCCGCCCCCGATTGCCACTTAGTTAATTTCTTTGGTTATCCCGTGATGGGTTTAAAACTTTATGTACGGCACGTATTTCCTCTCTTTCTCTATTCAAATTTCTGACCTCATAAATTGGCTCTTCACGTCTTATATTTTCCGAGTGAACCTTCGAAATTATCGCCGCACGACATATGTTCAATGCAGTTTTTAATGTTAAATTATCTTCCCTTAATAATCTTACCCGTATACTCGCACTAGTCACACCACAGACCAGACTTTATTAGACTATCAGATAATTCTCCAAATTCGCATGTCTGAGACAATTTACGCAACTCAAATACATATTGATCGATCGTTTCATTTTGTTTTTGATCTCGTGTGAAAAACTTATGCCGCTCAACGGTAACGTTTCTTGTAGTTTTAAAATGTTGGTCTAGTATTGTTAAGACACCCTCAGCTGTTGCGTATTTTTCCGAAGACTGGTCTAAAATGTCTCGACACTGTTCTCCAAGCACATGTAGTAATATATTTAGTTGAATGGATACATTTTTCTTATCAATCTCGCAGGCTTTACAATATATAATATAACTATTGCGCCATTTTGTCCAACTTTCACTTAAACTTCCAGAGGACGAATCAATTGCATTTCTATCAAAACAAAATGGAGGTGGCGGCGTTAAAACACATTCCATTTTTAATACGTGCACTCGTAATTATTACTATTACACCGATAATAAACTAATTAATGTTATTAAATTATAATATATTTATCTCATTAATAACAAATCTTTGCTCCATTTTAAAATGTAAATTACCGACTGCGCCATGTCATGTGTGACGTGCGTCAATCAAACACGGTGTTCTGGCCAGTACTGAATTTATTTTAATTTTACAATTATCATTACAATGAAAGTTATCAAGAATGATATTATAAAGGTGTATAATTTTGGTAATAGTTTGTCTAAAATTGGATCTGTTTAAAGCTTGATTAATATTTTGAATACTATCTTCTATTCGTATAAATATGCTTTTAGTAGAATTTGCCACGTTTGTGAAGGACCCTACCATATCGGCAACTGTTGTCGTTTTAGTTTTAATTGCATTTTGTTCCGTATGTAACTTATTTATTAATCTTTCATATTTAAGAGCGTCATCATTATCTAAGTTACCTGTGATAGTTTTTATCAAAGAGCCAATCGGATTGAGGAAACCTCTTTTGATTCGTAACGAAGGAATTAATTGTTTCAATTTGTCAATGATAACATTCAGAGTATAATCGGTTTGATATTGAACGGTTATAAAATCTGAATCAAACGATTTAATATCGAAACAATTTTAAATATGCTTTTTAAGAAACCCATATCTATGCATACTTGATTCTAATTCCTCGTAAATGAAATTTAAATCTAATATCTTAATAACTATCCAATTATCATAATTAACAAATGCATGACCTTCGTCAACAGGTAAAAATCCCGGGTTCTTGTCAATGCAAAGTAGATGAAGGGCCTGGATTCCCATCATTCGGATCACCAGTGAAAATAATCTGTGAAGGACGTTTTATGTCTATAATAGGAACATTTGTGATACGTTTATTAGTTTCAACTGGGACTACATTTTTTTACAACACCGGTGACATGAGTCTTTTGGTAACGCGGTTTATCCTTACCCCGTCTCGTATTAACACCTTTTATGAACACAGTATCACCTACATCTATATTGAACTGAAATTAACCTGCGTGTTTCTGTCTTACTGTAATTTTTTTGTCAATTAATTTATTTGTAATGTGTTACTACTTTGAGTCGAACAATTCTAATGAGGTCTTCGGGTAAATTTTACAAGAATACGTTTAAGGCGGTATTATTATATATAATCATTTTAGTGGCTTTAATTCCTTCATCGGAAAGTCTTTACACTTTGGCAAGCAGGGAACTTTTACATTTTGTATCCTTCTAAAAAACTGAATATATGACTCTCCTTGTTTAATTTTTAGACGAGGAGGGTCGCTGAAATGTTGGGTTAAAATTTCTTTCAAATCTTCCCATGTATTTAAACTAGGATTATCACTAAGTAGAGTCGCAGCTCTACCACTAAGCTTAGGTACTACTTATAGCACAAAATCTGTATAAATTCTGAATCGGATCGTTATAGCCTCCTGAATTTAGTAAAACGTATTCACATTTTGAAATAAATAAATTGAGTAATTTTTCATCTCCGTCGTATCCAGGAATTAAATCTAAAATGTGTGCTGTAATAACAGTTACTGACATTTTATTTAAACAATTTTACTTAATCTAACAAATTATTAACAAGGATATTTATCAGCCTATTTTGTGCCAACAAAATCAGATAAATGCAAATAATTTGGCTTCACGATTTTAGTTCGGAAAATACGGAAAAGAATGGGATTTGTCCCATTCTTTTCCGCAACAGGAAGTGAAAAGTTTTACTCACAGTACGTTCAATACCACGTCCTCCAGGGGATTCTAACCACTTCGATACTGCCGATGTGTCCTGTGCGCGTAATCGATTGATTTGGAAACGATTAAGCGCGTGTCGCGAGTGTATTTGTTCGGTTCG